ATTTATCCACCAACTCCCATCAGTCACTTGTGGGAGCTGCATACCTGTCCAGCTCTGCACATGAGCACAGCTTGAGGATCATGGTTTTCATTTACCCTTAGAATGAGATCCAGGTTCCTTGCCATGGCCCACTGTGCCTTCTCCCCCTCATTCACTCTGCTCCGACTTACTTGGCTCCTCTTGGCTCTTCCAACCTAGGATGCTCTTTCCAGCCCCAGGGCCTTTGCACCTGCTCTTCCCATAGCCTGGAATGCTCTTCCCCCAATTCATCGTGATTCCTGCCATCTCCCCTTTCAGGCCTCTTATCAGAGGTCTTTTCTGGCCACCACCCCAGCCATTATTCCTTTTCAAAGAATCACACTTCGTGATTGTATATTTGATGATTTGTCATCTCTCTCTTCCACTAGAATGTGAGTTTGTGTGGACAGGACCCAAGTCTGTCTTGTTCACAGCTGTGTTCCGGGCACTACTACCTGCCCAGTCCTAATGCCCATTAAAGATTTCTTGAATGAATCAGTTGTGTTCCTCCGACATGACCTCAGTGACCTCCCTCTTGACATCCTCTATGTATAAGCACTCAGGTGTGTGTCTTTGTGCTGGGTCAGTGTTACAGGCCTACACACATGGACAGATATGGGTAAAATATGTAGCAGCTGCTAATTCATTAAATGGTCCTAAGAGCCTGTCTATAAAACTCTTAATTAAATGCTCCAAAGAGTCTTTCTACGTAACTCTTTGGAAGAGGGAGCAAAACTAAAGCAAACATCAGGGGGTGGGGGATGGGGTGGGGCAGGGAAAACGTCACCATGTGAAAGAGAATGGGGTACCATCCATCAAGCAGTTCTTGTCTATTATTAGCAAACTATTTTGTGACCCAACAGATTAATTTTTAAGGTGATCAAATTCAACAGACATTTTTCTTTTTACTGTTTTCTTTTTCTTTGAATTTCAGATGCACATAATTGGATTAACCATAATGGTTTGTGACATATTTTCATTATTGGCCGAGCATGATCTGCTCTACCTATTTAGTGAGTTATTTTTTTAAATAAATTTTTAAATTTATTGTAAAGAGAGAGAGGGAGAGAGAGACATCAATTGTTGTTCCACTTGTTCATGCATTCATTGGTTGTTTCTTGTACATGCCCTGACCAGGGATCAAACCCTCAACCTTGGCGTATTGGGACGCTCTAACCAACTGAGCTACCTGGACAGGGTCGTGAGTTATTTTTAGTAATGTAATATTAGCCACAAATTCACCACCAAACTCAGCACCATCAGATGGGAGTGACAACGTACATCTAACCACATGGTTCCCAGTTCCCATTCCCTCCCTCCTCTCATCCAAGGTCATTGTATCCTGAGTCCTGTGCACAACTTTCCTTTTTATATCATTTTATCATGTGAAATTTTCTAACACCAAAACTTCAAAATAACCTGGGACTTTGAAAAGTGGTAAGTGTTAAAGCCATCTGGCTTTCAGAAATTCAACCAAGGAAAACCAGCATCCATGATATAGTTGTTTTCAAATCAGGAAATTCAGGTGTGAAATTGTATCATAAATATGCACACAGAGAATCTTAAATAAAACAGTATATGCAACTCATTCATTGGGAATAAAGAATGTGTGTCAGAAATATCTGCACTTAGCTAATGACCTAGGTGTCCCAAGTGCCCTGCCTCCAACCATCTGCTCTGAAAAAAAGACCAAAAGCCACACTGAAGTGAGTCTGGCCCCATCCGGAGCCCATCAAAAATGGACCGACAGGATACAGGCCTCATTACAGTAGCAATTCATTGTGCTCACAATGTCTCACCATGACTCCAAAGAAAAAGGTTTTCTGATGACCATGAGGACACATGAAATACTTGGGAACAGCTGAGAAATTCACTCAATCTACAATAGAACCGTTTCTAAAATGCTATACAAGGACAAGAGAGCCTGACCTCATTAGGGACAGAAGGATTCCACTTTGAGAACAAGGCTCCCTCCCAACTAAGTTATTTCAGGGAAATCTATTGTTGGTGAGAACATATCAAAGGAGCCTATGAACAAAGATAGTTCCCCTGACCTGAGTTGTTGTAGGATTAAATGAAATAGTGTAGGTGGGAAAGGGCTCTGGAAATTACATGTATAAAGTTGTAAAATGAGCTATGAACACCTGGCAGGCAAGTCCCACAATCCCAATTATCTTGTATCCCCAGAACTTGGCAAATGCCTGGTACTTGGTAGATTTTCAATAAACGTCTTAAGAATGAATTCAAAATTCTCTTCCTAAGGAATACAGATTTTTCTCCCTAAGTGGTCTTTCTTAACCATATAAATCAATAACAATGAGAACATACAGCTCATAGAAAAACGAGCTAAAAATAAACAGTATTTTTTATTTGAAAAGACTTTTAAGATATGAAAAACCGCTCAAACTTACTTATGAAAACATAAATTAATTCAGAGACTTTAAAAAAACCATCAGGATGGCAAAAATCTAAAAGTATGAAAAGACTATGCTAAGTTGTTGGGAAATAGCCTTCCTTAGGCATGTTGTATGCATGAACATATCCCCTTGGACGGGCACTCTCAGACCTATTGCCCTTTTTTGATCCGCCTCCTGGGCAACCTTCCCAGTTACTAGCTGTGACTCCTTATGTTGAGACTTAATTTCTCTCTTTCCTTGACCAAAGTGGCTCATTATTAAATGAACATTACCTATGTGACACATGGGTGTCAGAGGGCTCCCAGGGGATTTTACTCTGGGGTTTCTCCCCTAGAGAGAAGTCTGCAAACCAAGTGCATCAAAGGACATTTCTATTGTATCTGAAATGCTGTACAAGCTCTTTCCATTCTGTGATCAGGGCATAGTTTTACAACAATGAAAACATGTAAAACAATTACAAAGTTTTCACTGAGAGCCAGTATACTCAGCATAGTGCTTATACTCAGCAAGAGCACCTGCTGGCTCTTTAGCCAGACCATCTGGGTTCAAATTCCAAGTCACATAGTAAGTGCTCAATAAATGTTAACTGTTATTTTCCTTGGAATAAACATCAAATTCCTACTATGGTCTACAACCTATATGATATGTTCTCTCAAACCTCAGCTTGTTCTCCTCTTCCCAACTGTTCACCACCCAACTTGCCTCTTCAGTTTCATGATCATTCTACGTTTGCCTCAGGGTCTTTCCACTCTTTCTCCCAGTAGGAAATGTTCTCCCAGATCTTACCAGCTCCTCATCATTTAGGTTTTAGGTTTAGTAGCAACCCTTCTCTGAAGAGGCTTCTCCTAATTAACCTATCCCAAACAGCTCCTCCTTCCCCACCCAGTACATCACAGTTTGATTTCTTTTATGGCACCTATCACTAATTTACTTGATTTGTCCCCCCCATTTAAATGTAAACTCCACAACAACAGGAAATCTCATGTTCGTCTTTATCTCAGAACTTAGGATGATGACTGGTACACTTAAGGCACTTGATGTTTGTTAAATGAAAAGGAAAAAAATTATCAAGTTCAAATCCTATCCAAATGTAAAAACCTAGCCACAATCCCCAAAGAAAACAGTTCAAAGACTAAAAAGACTTGGGTCTTATAAGTGGATACTTTCATATTCCTAACAGCCCATCTTTTGAAAAACTCTTTCACTAATTTGAGAAAATCCCAGATTAGGAGTTCTGCCTCCCTATTATAGACAACAGTAACTCAAATTCCCAGCGCTTTTGCAGCTTAGTATGTAGGTGTGTGACTAGGCTCTACCTACCAGACGCTCATTAAGACTCAGAAAACAATACAGTATAAAGTCACTTTGCTTCCTGCCCCCTAGGCTGTGGATAGTGTTGGGCTTTTTGGGAGAGCAGTGGGGCCAGGTCAAGTGAGATCAGTGAGGCTCTGCTGGGAATTTCCTCTAGTACATGGGGCAGCAAAGCACAGACAGCGTTCTCAGGCCAGTTCTGTGCATGGTTTTGGGCATGGTTCCTAGAAGTATAACCTTGGGTCTGTCCCCACTGAAAGTCAGGTTTGCAGAAACTACCAAAACTGCCTAACTTTAAGACATTACTCTTTACAATACGAAACAGTTCCTACGTCTGTCCACTTGATTGTTTCCTGATATGTATCAGAATCAGCTTCTGTCCTGGGAGTAAGAAGTTAAGACACCGGCCAGCCATCTGTGTTCTCTCCACAGCTCAGTCATTTACTTGCACAAGTCCTTGAAAGAGGCAGTTATAAGAAAACTGCTCCATCTTCATAACACAGAATGGCCTATTATATTTAAGCACATCTATTCAAAAAATGAGCTACAATATTTCAGTTAAAAACTGACTATCCCCATTTTGAATTTGTTAAGTACCATCCTTTTATAATAAAACAAGAGTCCATATCAGAGGTTCCAAACTGGTAAGTAAATCTGACATGCAGAGGTTTTGTCTGGCCCACAGTGCTTTTTAACTTTTTTAAAACATTTGTAGCCAGAGATACAAAGATTGCATATTTATATCTGTGATTTCTGATTACAGACAGGCCTGCATGCAAAGATCAGTTGGAGAGTAGAGGCCCCCTTTGACAAGGCATTTCCTTGTCAATGTGCCACTGATATACACTCACATACCAAATTTTCCCTTTTAATTTTGTTGTAGATGTTAGAAATTGGGCAGAGTGTCTGCCATTTCATGGAAATGTTTAAAAAACACCAACATTTTGCACTACAATAGAATGCTGGGATAAAACATTAAAGGGGAGAGAAGGGAGTTCTTTGGTGAGTGTCAGCTTTAGTCATGCAGGAGGGGGGATTCTGGGATCTGTTGCAAGCATGTGCAGGTGATTGACAATATTATACTTTATACCTGGAAACTGTTGGGAGAGTGGATTTTTTATGGTTTTTTTCCTACAATAAAAAAAATCAATGTAATTCATTACATGAACAGAAGAGAAAAAGTTAAGAAGCACATGATCTTAATAAATGCAGAAAAAGCATTTGATAAATTCAATCAAAATTCTTGGCAAACAATAAACAGAAGAAGTTTCTTTAATCTGATAAAAGGTATTTATCTACAGTAAGACAATAATAAGCAATACTCATCAAATCATCAAAGTTTTTCACCTGAGATTGAGGAGATAATGTTCACTATTCCAGTTTAATTCAATATCGTGTTTGGGTCCTGATCATACAGTGAAGCCAAAAATAAAAATAACAGATTAACCCTGGTGAGTAACTCAGTTGCTTGGAGCATTGTCCCGATACACCAAGGTTTGGGGTTCAATCCCTGGTCAGAGCACATACAAGATTCAACCACTAAATGCATAAAGTGCAATAACAAATGGATGTTTTTCTCTCTCTCTTCTTCTCTCTTAAAAAAAAATTTTAAAAAATAATAACATTAGATAGGAAAGGGCAGGAGGAGGGCAGAAGGTTGGAACTTGGAATTGAAGATTCCAAAGCAAGTCAAACCATAGTATAGAGTTTAGAAAATGTTAGGTATACAACTTAAGGTGGACCCTGAAGCTAAATTTAAGAAAAAGAAATCAGCAATTTATAAGAGAAACTGACATACTACAAAGGTAGCTTCCTTTATCTTGCTAACCTATATTTCACTTTGATATGAATTCAAAATATTTATAAAATGACCACTTTCCAAATAATTAAAACAATTTACATCTTAACATTTACTTCTGTAGGATATATTCTGTCATTTGAAGTAGAAATAAAACCCAAACAGTAAACTGATTTTAAGTATATAATCTGGGATCAATTTCGTAAAACCAAGTTTACAACAACTTAATTCCAGGCATAAAAAAAAAGATCATTTAGCAAGCTTTTTGAATGGGGGAGGTGGAAAAAAAACAGGACAGGAAAATCATCTGTAGATTAACACAAAATCCTGTCACTTCCAATATATCTCGCATGTTCCAGACATCTTCCAAGTACTGAAAACACAAGGCAGTTCTCAGATACAGTATTATAGTCCATTAACAACTATATCATTCAATAAGTTACCAGTAAAAGAAAAAAACCCTTATAAAAAGTTCATGTATTCACAGATGCAGAATCCGTCTCGTTGTACTTTACCGAGAAAAATGCAAATAAATATATCGTTAAGATAATATAGCAATCCAGATCTTTCTCAGGTCAGACTATGCCTATCAGCCACCTCAGTACTGTGGAAATGTTCCATCGATTTTGGCAGCCCAGGCCATAAGGCCCCCTACAACATCCTGAACTGTTAGCGAGTCTAACCCTTGGATTCCTGTCAAGGACTGCAGGATCTTCACGGCTTTCTGGGAGTCATTGCCCAGTTTGCAAATCACATAAATGGGGAGAGCTGCTCCTTCCTGTGCGCCTTGCTTCCCTTTCTGGATTGCTTCTCCTAAGAGTTTCAGGCTTTTCGCATCCCTCCGTTCCAACTGTTTCAAAGGGATGTGTAGGGCATGAGGCAAACGACAGATGTCCACTTCCACCTGAGGTCTGACGTCCAGCAACAGGTGGGGTGACCCAGAATCCATAAGTTGCTTATAGTCGGTGACAGAAACTCGCTCCTCTGGGCTCAGCAACTGCAGAGAGCGGCACTTATCGGTGGCTGAGGAGCCACAGAAGGCTTCATAGTCCTGCAGGTCAGTCACAGTGGGCCGCTCCCCACAAGCTGCACAGTCCAGCCTGCGGCTCCGCAGCTGAATACAGCGGAAATGTCCTCTGAGAGCGTCAAAGAGCAACAGGCTGCCACTGTAGGAGGGGCCCAGACCTGCAGCGATCTTCAACACTTCCAGCGCCTGCAGGCAGCCCACGACCCCAGTTACAACACCGAGCACCCCGCCATCCGCGCAGTTGGTCACCGTCTCAGCTGGAGGTGGTTGGGGGAATACGCAGCGATAGCAAGGCCCGCCCTCATAGTGGTAGACTGTGATTTGGCCCTCAAAGCGCAGGGCGCTGGCGGAGACGAGAGGCCGGCCGGCTAGCACACATGCGTCGTTAACAAGGTATCGAGTGGGCACGTTATCGGAGCAGTCAGCTACCACGTCATAACGGCGGACAAGGTCTAGAGCGGTGGCTGGCGTAAGAGCCTGAGCGTAAGGCACGCACTCCACAGCCGAATTCAGGCGGCGCAGCGAGGCGGCAGCCGAAAAGACCTTGGCCTGGCCGGCCAGTGCCTCGCCATGCAGCACTTGGCGGGCCAGGTTGCTCATTTCTACTACGTCGTAGTCCACAAGGCCAAGGCGGCCTACGCCGGCCGCTGCCAGGTACTGCGCCAGTGGGCAGCCGAGCCCGCCGCAGCCCACGATTAGCACGGACGCGGTCGCCAGGCGCAGCTGTC